TCTAATCAATTTGCTTATTACCCTTTCCCATTGCAAGCATTTAGCTTTCAGCTCTCTCCAAATTGTTATGCCAGCTGCCACTTATCTGTTTTAGAACTTCCAAAATTTTAGAACTTCTGTGACTTTTGTCTCCTCTTTTATTCTCTTCATTGTGAATTTTTTTGCCTTTCATCCTTTCATGTTATTTTAGTTTTAGGAAGTGTTGGATGCAAACATATCTGCTCAACCCACTGTGTTTTACTGAAAGTTTCTAAATAATGTACTCATAAGACTATGAGACTGCCCTGTAAAAGTGTTAAATTTTAATAATACTGAATAATATTTAATGTTATGTATCTCTTCGCAAAGTATACAATCCAAAGAGGCCTGCTACCAATTGTTTTTATTTATAAATTTTATCAGTTAATATTTTAGATGGCCACAATCATAATATATGCTTTGAAGTTTATATAATGGATCTATCCATCTAATAGGACAAGTATAAACTACTGTGATAAATTATCATAGAATATTGACTTTGATCAAGACAGGGCAGGGGGAAGAAGGACAGAAAAGGTTTCGTGGAGAAAGTACTTGGGAACTGGGTGAAAACTGTGTAGCTATAATTACTCTCCACTTTCCAAAGACTACAATAAAGATTTTTTTTCCAACTTCCCACATCTATGATCTCATATAATGTATGATAGCCATCTTTCTGAAAAAGATGCCATAAATTAATTAGAGACAATGGCTCAGAAAGAAGTTGCCACTTGGTTATCAACAATGGCATAACCCAGGCATTGTAAACAATACCTAGACAGTGCTAAGAGTTTTAGATGGAGTTTTTAAAGCATGCTTAGGAGTTTTACAACCATCCTCTAACCCTGTTTTTCCCTAGGCAAAAAAGCATCCTTTTTATAACTTTTTTGCCATAGCCACTGCATACCCCTCATTATGGTAAGATGCACAGGGGAGTTCTGTGTTGAATAACAGGTAAATCAACACATCAGTTACGCTTTCAGGTGATATCAGTCCACAAGTCTAACACAACCAATGTCTGTCTCCCTTATCTTTTAGACAGTTCCCTCTTTTGAAAGTCAAATGTCTGAAAGTAAGGCAATAGGTTTACGTGTTATAAAGAAGTTATCATTTCTAGAACACTAGAAACATTTTAAAATCCCCAGTTATTATTAAGGCAGGCCAAATGTTAAAGAATTGCCCAGGCCAGCTGTGAGTCACCGGCGACGGCGTAGGCTGCAGCCCCTGCGGCAGTGGGCTGCCATGGGCTACCGTGTGTAGCCAGCAGCCAGTTTGAGCGGCCAGCAGCCGCTGTGAACAGTCGTCCAGAAGCCGGCAACTGATCTGCCTCGCCCGGAAGAGCGCAATGATGGTGCCAACTTGGGCCAGTGAAGCAACGTCCTCCACAACTAGACTGAAGAACAAAAGGACAGCAACTTGTCTGTTCCCCTTCCCCCAATTCCCCAGCGCTGTTCCCATCCCCCAATTCCTCAATAAAAATCTTTAAAAAAAAAAAAAAAGAATTGCCCAGGCACTCGGGCTGAGGGGAGGCAGCTACTGGTAACAGAGGGTTTGAGAAACTGAGGAGTAGCCCACTATCCTTCCCCTGACCTTACGCCCAAAGCCCTCAGTCTTTAAACTCCTACCACCAGAGTACACGGGAAGTTGCATTGCAGAACTGGAGGAAGAAATGTCTTGGTCTGAACAGGTTCTCATATGTACGTGTAACCCTCAGTGAAGTTTTACCAGGTGGCTGGCTGCTCCCACAATCCAGAGCAACTCACAGCTGGAAGAATAGGGGGAAAGTAAGCAAAGCAATGAGGTGGAAGCTCTAACACCACTTTTGGGAATCTCAAGAGGGCTGCCATGAGATAGCTCTAAATCACGAGATATATGAAGCTCTGACTTCTGCATAGAAACGCAGTTTAAGAGTGTTCATGTAGATAATATAAAAGTGTGAGGTCTATGAGTTGAATGCTTGGGAATAATGTCTCTCTTTGCACGAAGATCAGCACCATATTAGCATGGATCACACTAAATTTCTCTCTCTGTGTCCTGTCTAACCACCTCAAAAGTGAAGGCAGAGCTCCCAAGATGCCAGAAATATAACAGATCACAGCTGATCTCAAACCTGGTTTTCCTGAGGTTCTTCAAACTAGAAAGTATCTAGGACCCATGTGAACTCTGAGACTACCTAGACCAGGATTTCTCAACCTCAACACTATTGACATTTGGCCTGGATAACTCTTTGTTATAAAGGGCTATTCTGAACATTGTAGTAACAACCCTGGCCTCTACCCACTAGATGCCATTAGCACATACACACACCCCAGCTGTGACAACCAAAAATGTTCCAAGTGGCAAATTCACTCCCAGTTGAGAACCACAGACTTAGACCAACACTCCTCAAGCTTTAACATACACACGAATCCCTTAGGGACTGTATTAAGATGCAGATTCCAACTCAGCAGGTCTGGGGTAGGGCCTGAAGTTCTGCATTTCTAATGAGCACCAAGGGATGCTGATGCTCCTGGCCCTAGGGCACACTTTGAAGAATCTAGAGTAGTACTTCTCAATTCCTGGCCGCACAAGGCAATCATTGGACTACTTTAAAAAATTCTGATGCCTAGGCCATACCCTGACCAATGAAATCATAATCTCTAGGGGTAGGACCTAGGCATCAGGACTCAAGTTCCCAGGTGATTCCAATGTTCAGCCGAGGTTGAGAAGATGTATTCTATTCTTCCCCAGGACTGGGAAATAAGTATAGACAGGCATTGAAGAATGAGGAAAGAGACAGATAAGACAAGGTGGCCACATAGCCAGAGATTACAATGATGCAACCACAAGCCAAGGAAGGCTAGCAGCCACCAGAAACTGCAGTGGCAAGGAACGGATCCTCCCTGAGAGCCCTGGAGGGAACATGGCCCTGCCAACACCTTGATTTTGGACTTCTGGCCTCCGATGCTGTGAGAGAATGAATTTCTGCGGTTTTAAGCCACCGATCTGTGGTACTTTGGTATGGCAGCCCTAAGAAAGTAACACAAACAGTGAGGTGACACAATATAAGGGGACAGAGAGGAGCATCCACAGCCACGCCAGAATCTGTCTCAAGTTAGGAAGTCTAAAGAATGCAACCATGGTCCAGAACCGGGCTTCAGCAACAGTCTGAGACTGATTATTTGGGTCCGATAATGTTAATTACTAAGGAAATTAAGAAAACACTACCCTTGATGGTCAAGCCCAAGGCCACCTGGTTGTCCATATCCAGGCCCATAGCTGGGAAAGAACACCAAAGGAATCAGAGAGCATGAATCCAAGTCCAGCAGGCCCTCCCAGGGCCCTTAGGTGACTGGCCATTTTCTCCCAACTGCACTTACAATGCAGCAGACCCTCTTAATAATCCATGTAACTAGCCCTGATTTTTTCTTTGCTTCTTTTAGAACTTAAGGAAGAGATGGAACTTATCTGACATTACCTGGCAATAAATAAACATAGAAACTCATTTAAAAAAAAAGAATGAGGAAATAGTACAAAAGAAGAGAAACTATTATTTTCCTCACAGCATTCCTGATCTTGGTCACGCCTAGGTTTCAGAATAACTGAGATCTTTAGAGAGATGTAACACCAGGAAACAATCTCTATCATGCTTCATTATCTATTTTGTTTTCAGTATCAGAAGAAAACAATTCCTCATTCCATTTCACTTCTAAGTTTGAAAACTGTATGTAGAGACCACATAAAGGATACTATTTTAAAGACGTTTTTCAATGATTCTTGGAATTCTGAGTATGTTACTTTTAAGATTCAGATTTTAAAAGTTTGTGGACCTCAAACCAAATTTTTTCTGGATAAAATGACATGATGTATGGGATTTCCTTTGAAATACCCAACTGGAAAAGGCAGATGGGGAAGGTGTTGGGATCTAGATAAAATGACAAAATGTTAGTAACTGTTAAAAATGGATGATTGAGTACATGGAAAATCACTGTTATTATACTGTTCTTTCTGCTTTTGTAGGTGTTTGAAAATTTCTATAATAAAAATTTGAAAATAAATTTTATGTATCTGAAATTTGGTCTTCTATTAAAGATATCCCCCAAAAAAAGTCATGCAATTTTTTCAAAGTTGCTTATATGGAAGCTTCAAATTTTCAAGGTAAAAGGCTAAAGACCTAACATGTCTTGCAGCAATTCCCAATTCTTGCCATTCCTTTTCATTCCATGAAAAAGTAAATTATCACTGTTTCCCAGACATATTCCAGAGTTTTTGCCTATTATGTCATTCAACAGAATTCCCTTCTATCTCCTCCTCACTGAAAAGAACAGTGGCTTAGCAGAGCTCTGTTAGTTAAAAAAAAAAAAAAAAGTGCTTAGGGTCTTTACCTTGCAAGTTAGAAAACAGAAAAAAACAATACAAATCATAGGTGATGAAAGACATAGTACTGAACCAAGAGAAAACGCGGGTGCAATCCCAGTCCAGTGTGTTAGATTATACTCAAGAGACAGCCCTGAGTGCCCCTATCTCTAGGAAACATGTGATTTAGAGATTAAGTATCTAAAAGAGCTAAAATGATCCAACACCAGAAATCATGATAATGATTTCATGGTATCTGGTTCACAAGCTTGGGGGGTGATGTGATTTCACAGGGTTGCTTTTAGGTGGGGAGAAAACTGTTTTGTGTTTACCTTATTTATATAGCAGAATCATAGTCCCATGTTAAAAAATTTAAAGTAGTTAAAATCAGAACTCTGTCAATTCTCTGAATTTGTTCCGTTTTTTAATTTTTTTCACTATAATTCTCTTTCATAAATGTCATTTTTACAAAAGATATTCAGCAAACATCAGAAAAGAGTTGAGTGAAAATCATACATAAAAATAAGGACAATATTTATACCCATGATAAAATCATAGCTCTGAAAATGATGCTATCCTATTTTTAATGCACTGATAAAATCAGAACAATGAAATAAGATATTACAAATTCATGCTGTATTTCTTACCAATGAAATTAAATCCTCCATTGTTTGTCTGTTGTTTCTGTGATGTACAGAAAGTTCCGTTACACAATCTTCATCAAGGTGAATAAGCTACAAAAAAAATGTATAAACTTTATTAACAAAAAAATTACAATTTATTATTTTGAAATTTTAAAATTATTATTGCTTAAAACCAAACACCAATGTGTAAAAGCAACATAAGTTTGTCAAACTCTTGGGTAACAATAAACATGCTCCATAATTTTTTAAGATGTAAGCAGATGACAATAAGCAGTTCAAGAAGATGAGCCCACCATCATCTGATCAACTGTTAAAATTCTGTTGTAAAAAATAAATAAATAAATAAAATTCTGTTGTGCAACCATGTGATTATATACTCCTTTCCTACCATAAGATCTACACTGGAATTTTCATGAAAGAGTAGTCATCCAGGCATCTAAAATCAGTGACTGTACAATAGACTGGTAAAAGGGTGGCTCAGACTTGTAGCATATTGCCCCTCAGGTTAGTCCTGTGCAACCCACAACACTATCATGACCTTCCCTGGTTCTGGTCATCACACCTGTAACAACGGGCTCAAGAGAAACTCACACAGCCATTATGAAAACATAAGAACAGCAGAGACAATGGTCTTCAGGATGGGCTGGTGCGAGAACCACCTCATGAGTTACAGTGAATGTGGAGACCATACAGATTTACATTAACGGTACTATAAAAGTCTAAAATGGCACTAGAAAGTCTAAGTCAAGAGTAAGTTTTCATTATATTGCTTTGACTTTGGCAGCTCCCAAAACTGTAAATTCCCTCTTCAAAAAGGGCTCATCCGGGCTGGCCGAGTGGCACGTTGGTTAAGAGTTGGCTTGGGACACCAGCTCTGAGCAGCAGGGACCCGGTTCGGATCCCACATAAGGGCCAGTGATGCTGCCCTCTACAGCTAAGATGGTGAACAACAGCTCAGCCTGCCATGAGTCGCCGGCGACGGCGTAGGCTGCAGCCCCTGCTGCAGTGGGCTGCCATAAGCTACCACGTGTGGCTGGCAGCCGGTGTGAGCTGCCAAGAGCAGCCGTGAGCAGCCGTCCAGAGGCCGATGACCGATCTGCCTCACCCGGGAACAGCGTAATGATAATACCAACATGGGCCAGTGAAGCGACGTCCTCCACAACTAGGCTGAAGAACAAAAGAACAGCAACTTGTCTGTTCCCCTTCCCTGATTCCCCAATTCCCCAATGCTGTTCCCCTACCCCAATTCCCCCCCCCAAAAAAAATCTAAAAAAAAAAAAAGGGGGGGGGCTTATCCTCAGAAGCCCAGACATTTTAGCACGCAGTTGGGCATCTTCTTGTTGATGTCATTACTGCTCAAGTGAGAAAGGCAAGATTTCTGGGGTTCCTTCCATGGCCTTAAGTTACTCTCCAAAAAAATAAAAATAAATCAAAACCTTCTCTCTCTCCCACAGGCTCCTGCTCTGTACCTTTACCACAAGGTGTGTGTGGAAAACGGGGAAAGGGTAGGAAGGAGGCGCTATCTTCTTGCCTGGGCTCCTAAACTAGAAAGAATGAAGACTGGGGTGGACAAGACACCAAAGTCTGAAAAATACAGCTTAGCTCAAACTGGGTTTTCCAAAGAGGCTCAATACTTTGTTTTAAGTACCTGAATTCTCAGCCACAAATACTCAAGTTAAATTAAGTACAAAAATGCATCCCAAAAGCTAGTCAATTATTCTGGATTATCCGTGCCTACTACATTTGCTGTTCAGTAGGGCATATAATACTTAGGTACTAGAGCTATGTGTGGAAAAGACAGAAGGAGTTCATGCATAGAGTTATAAAATAGAATCTATAGCCTAAATATCCAAGTAAATCTGAATTATTTTGTATAGGTCACTCTTGATGAAACACAATACTGAGAGAGAAAAGCAAAGACTTTGAAGAGCAACAATAATCCCTTATAGCTCTTCTGTATATAACTCTTTTGATTCCTGCAGTAGCTCTGTAAGGCAGGCAACACAGATGAATGTCATTTCACGGAAAGGCCTTTGTAAATGCCAATATATAACCTAAACATATAAGAGACTGACATCAGAATACCCATGATAGAGGCGAGAAAATGATGACTCAGAAAAATGCATGCCATCTGCCCAAGACTGGCATTTTTCATTCCTAGCCCAGGGTTTTTTCTACCATACCACAACGCCACCTCTCTGCTCCAACAGCTATTCCAACCGAGACCAGACCCACACTGCTTATCACAAAGGCTACAGCTATGCAGGATACAAGCCCTGAGTTTAAATCAGTTGACCTATAGACCCATTACATTCTGGAGCCCTTTTGTCTGGGTACAAATCCTGGTTCTACACTTACTAGTTGTTTGACCTTGGGCAAGTGACTTCACAATTCTATGCCTCAGTTGCTTCATCTGCAAAATGGGGACAATAATAGTATCTACTTCAGAGGGTTGGTATGAGCATTAAATGAGTTAAAAACAGAAAGCCCAGAGAATAGCACCTGACTCTTAAAGGTACTACTCTAAGGGTTCTATCTATATTGTACTGTAGAATAATATACAGAGTCCTTGCTATAATAGCACACTATTCTATTATGGTTAAGTACTTGATAAATATTAGCAATTATTACACTAAAATGTAAGATAATTATGTACTTTTTTGGAATACTCAAAACTATGTATTTTACTTTATACTGTGCCCCAATTTAAAATAATTTTTGTTGGGCCGGCCGAGTGTGCGTTGGTTGAGAGATGGCTTGGGACTCCAGAGGGCCCCGGTTCGGATCCCACACATGAGGGCCAGTGACTCTGCCCTCTACAGCTAAGATGCTGAACAACAGCTCAACCTGGAGCTGGACTGCCGTGAGTTGCAGGAGACGGCGTGGGCTGCAG